TGAAAGAATAGACCATTCCAAGCTTTTACTTGTTGTTAAACAACTGTTTAAACAACTCTATATATTTAACTGTATAGACTATTGTGTTACTTTTATATACAAAGTCTTTTTGCAAATCTTTAAGTTTTATGGTGTTAAATATTATAACAAGCAGTATAATGAAACTAGGGCCCTATGTTTTTAAACCTTCGGCAATGACAGATTAATGATAACCCTATTAAGACTTACAATACTGATGAAAGAAATAAAAGATTATGATTTTCGAAAAAGGGCAACTGAATTAATCCACCATCTTGTTGTTGGAGACGTGCTTTTGGAACTGATAGCGTAGATATGTAAATCTGTGCTAGCAGTTCAAAATCCTGTTTCTAATACCAGATAAACATTGTATTCTACAAAATAACACTAAACAGAAAATGGACAATAACAAATCTGTATTTTCCAAATATTTCATGGCATTTATGTGTACAAACACATATATTCAAACACTACATGCAAGGGTGTACAAAACAACTTTACAAGAATGAAATAAATAACCTTGCTCCAGCTGTTGGCTTTCATATGTCAAGATGTACATGATACCCTAAATAACCAAAACCCAAAAGTCTACAATGTTAGCAGACATGCAAACCAGATATACAATATATCTTATATACACACACACACACATATATATATATATTTATATATATAACCACACTGTTTGCCTAAAGTACACTGATCATAGATTTAAATGATCAGTTCATTAAAAAAAAAAAGATAAAATCATTATTTCAAAATGAGCAAATTCCATATTTCTAACTCTCCTTGAAGAGAATGTATAAAGGTACATTAAAGAATTAGGTTAAAATATAAACCTATTGTCTTTTTTGTTTAATAATTTAATATCTGATGAAAAGAGATTCAAAACTCCTTCACACACACACGAAAAAAATCTGTCGAAACAATTTTGTTGTAGCTTTGTGTATTCATTTTAGTACACGTGATCCCAGGCTGGAGTCAGAAGAGTCACAATAAGCACAGTTGACCCCATATTTAACCAGATGAGTTACATTAAGTACAGGGGATCCCAGATTGATATCACAGGAGCCACAGTAAGCACAGATGATTCTACATTGAAGACACTAGAACCATAGTAAACACAGGTGATCCTAAGTTGAAGACACAAGAATCATAGTAAACACAGGTGATCCTACGTTGAAGACATAAGTACCATAGTAAACACAGGTAGTCCTACATTGAAGGCAGGAGCCACAGTAACCACAGGTGACCATATGTTGAAGACACAGGAATCTAAGAAACACAGGTGATCCAACATTGAAGACACAGGAACCTAGTAAACACAGGTGATCCTACATTAAAGGCAGGAGCTGTAGTGAGCACAGTCAATTCTAGGTTGGAGACACAGAAGCCATAGTAAGCACAGGTGATCTCAAATTGGAGATGCCATTATTTCCTAACACAGAAAATACAATATATTAGTGCATGTAAGTAAATTACAGTGTTGTTTTTTTTATCTCTTGAAAATAAATGTGTGGAATGATATCATTTTATTTGTCAACGGTTGTTATAACACTTCTTTTTCACCAATGGTGATAAATAGAATGACCACCATATTTTTGGAAGCTCAGAAATTTACTGCAGTATTCAATAAAAATTGTAGCAACGGAAAACGTTTCATATGTTTTTAACAAATTCCACAATTACCACATGAAGCATACTGATCAATGCTAATAACAGTTCTTCTGTTAATGGATAATGCATCAAGCCAAGTGAGAACTAAACGCTTGCTTATGGAAGAAAGATTCAAGAGGGAGATCAGGAATACTATACTTACATATACTTGTGTGTGCATGTATATTCATAACTCCTTAACATTAATATATCCATACAGTATCTTTTTTTTCCTTCCAAATACCAAATCACATACACATTCTACACCTCTGTATATTCACAATCTTGCTCTCTACCTTTGTGAGCTCTTATCACTGACTGAATATCCATACTTCAGATCTTTGTATATTAATACCCATATGTGTACTAACACCCCAACTTATTCAAATCTACAGTACTTATACACCCTATTTTCACAATCTAACATTGTGTACTACATTTAACAAGAAACTGGTAGCAGTCATTTTTAAATGTGGAACATACAGTGAAGCCTTGCCAGTTATTAAACCAACACATTTTTTGAACAAAACTATAACAAAGTTAATATATCATTTTCTCAAATATGGATGATCTTCCAAAACACTGATAAACTACAGTTTTATATATTTATGTTAAAATCAAAATATGCCTCTCTAAAATATTGTGATTTGTTACCTTATATGCAATGATTTAAAAAAATTACTGTCAGATATATTATTTTCCATATTAAGGAATTTTGACTGAATTTTTATACCTAGTATTAAATGACAAAGAAATCTTTCAGAAAAAAAAAGTTAGCATTTCATATGTTTAGGTTACAAAGTGTAAATCAAAAGATCAAATATTTTGCTCTATCTGTATAAGGCTAGATAAAGAAGCTTCCGATAAATACCTTTATACTAAAGTAGCTTTTTTAACACTATCTTGATCTTCATACCATGCAAGCATTTCTTCATGAAAGTCTTGAGCTAAAGAAACGCAGGAAACAGGTTCTTCAAAAGAAAAACTGGTTTCGGGTGTCAGATCACTTTCTGTAATTCTGAAATAATCAACAGTGAACAAATTTCAAACCTAACAATTATAACCCATAAAAACATTATACTTTGAAACCATTAAAAAAATTTTGTCTTTGGTTATATTTATAGGAAGACAGAAATAATAGTTCATGAAAAATCTTTACAAATCACCAGTGTTGAAGGTAAAATTAGTACAAAATATGATAACTAGAAATGTTGTTATAATAATTAGCCATAAAACAAAGCATGAGAATTTATTGTTTTTTTAATAGTACAAACTTGCACTTTTACCATTGTACCATGAGTTAAATGTTTCCCATTTCATTTCATAATCCATATTTAAAATTACCTGCAAGCCAAAATATGTTACAAAACAACAAAGACCACTGTAATATTGGACTGATGAGCTAACTGCACTTTTCTGAAAAATAATGTTTGATACAAGTGCAGTTAGCTCATCAGTCCAATATTACAGTTTCTGAAAAATAATGTTTGAGATCAGTGCAGTTAGCTCATCAGTCCAATATTAGTTTCTGAAAAATAACATTTGATACAAGTGCAGTTAGCTCATCAGTCCAATATTACAGTTTTTGAAAAATAATGTTTGAGACCAGTGTAGTTAGTGCATCAGTCCAATATTACAGTTTCTGAAAAATAACATGAGATTTTAACTTATGAATTCTCAAGCTGTATTACTGAAATTATTAATATTTTTCTATTCATATTAAGTATTACAGTAGCTAATAGAACTACGTCTGTAAAATGTTCACACTAAACAATGTGTATAGTGAGTGTCTGAAATAGTACTATAAATGTATATTTCGTTCAGTTTCCAACACAATAATGGATTACTCAGTTGCTGTAAAATGGTTGAGGTAAACAGATATTAATTTCATTCTTTCACAGCAAATTCTTTATCATAACCTGTTTCACCACCAATGTCATGTCATAAGTGTCTGCAAATATATCACTATAGCAATTACGAAATGACTTATGTGTCACATGAAGTTTTAACAGGTGTCAGTGCTAATGCCATCTGTGTCACTTCCACCATCTTTATTTTCAATTATATTTGATTAGGAAATAGGCAATGTCAGTGCTTTCTCTGAAAAATCCTGTTGAGTTTTTAAAACTGTTACTTTAAAATGAGGATCCATGAAAGGAGTTAAGGTGAAATCTGAATTTCCTTGTATTCCAGTAAAGTCCAGGTTCAAGTCCTTCTGTCTCGAGGATGCTCTCTCTGTTCCAAGTCAAAAGTGGCTTATGTTGTTCTTTGGCAGACAGAGGTGAAAATAAGAAATATTTTGAATAACTTCTGAAACTAGAGTGTTTGGAGTAGTTCCTTCAAATAATTGTGACATGTTTCTGCTGATTATTGTTGAGTGTCATTACATGTTTATCCTGTTCCAAAAGTCTTTCAAGGAGATAGTACATTATATTCCAACTGTTATCTGTACATCTACAAATTTCTCTTGGGGCATATTTAAATCATTTTATATATACATTAATTTTATGCATGCTCAGGGCAAGTAGTTAAAACTTGTAATGATCTTTTTACTGACTGTTATGAGATCAACTATATCTCACCGAGATTTCAGAGCATTTTTGATCTTAAACTGTGATATTTGGAGAACATATAGTTCATTTGAAAACCCAGTTTCACTAGAATCCTTCTTAATATTTACTCCAATGTAGCTTATGTACGTATTAGACTTTCCAACTTTTTTCATTATAGCATCACCAGTAGGGCTTCAAGAAAAACACTGGACACTAAGAACAGCTTGTTATAAATCCATACATTCTATGATCAAATGTCCTGTGAAACTAATATAACTGTTGTTTGTTGTTGATATCTATTATTAGAAAAATGGCAGTCATTTGAAATTGACCAGCATTTGTAGTTTTTCACCTTTTACATATAACTGGATCACTTTTGTTAGATAAACAAGTTTTGCTTGGTAATATGTAATTCATCAAGCACATAAACCCTTCATTATACTGACTGCACAATGCAACTGTAACATAATGATCATTAACGTCCCTGAGATATTTTTGTTGTTTTTTGATAACCCCCTCTGAATAGTAAGCACCTTGGAACTTGAGTTTCACCTTATGTATTAGATCCAATAGATTTGATAGTTTGTTGCTAATTATTGAAGTCTTGAGCATGCTTATTTTACACGTGGTTGTGCACTTTACTTTCAGTAAGTACTTTGAAGTAATCCCACACAGAACGATTTGCACCTGAAACCACTCATGGTAATCAGTGAATTGCTCTTCATACACTGAGAGCAGTCATTGACTACGTTAAAGTCTCAGAAATATAAGATATCACTCTTCATGTCACTGATAGCAATTATCAATACAGTAAAGGTCTCAGAGATGTAAGATATCAGTATATCACTCTTCATGTCACACACAGTAATCATCAAAGTCTCAGAGATATAAGATATCAGTATATCACTCTTTATGTCACTGATAGCAATTATCAATAAGGTCAGTCTCAGAGATATAAGATATCAGTATGTCACTCTTCATGTCACTGATAACAATTATCAATAGTCAAAGACTCAGAGATCGGTTTGTGCAAATAAAAGATCTTTGCATGTCTTGTTTACTGACTGCTGCTATGACAACATCTATGACATGTTATAACTCGTGTATATTGCAGAACATACTACATAAAGGTGCACCAATACGGATATTTATTATCCATTCAGAAAAGGTATTTTAAACTACTAAAACAAATTAAAATTTAACCTATAGGTGATTTTTTTCTGATTGCCTTTATAACAAAAATTCATAAATAGTTCTTAATTGGTGCAGAAAATAAATCAAACAAATAACAGTCATTAAAAAAAGGTTAAAAACACTTTGCATTAGTGTTTATAGAAACCTTAGCAAAATAAACACACACACACAAATTAACTTTTGAATTGTACCTGTAACTATCATTAGTTTATAACAGAAACTTTATACAGGTAAATTTTATCAACTTCACTGGAAGAAACATTCAGCATAAATCTATTCAATTTATTCAACAAAATTCAGTCTGACAACTTTGCTACTTCAAAACATAAATACAGACAATTTTTGGCTTCAAAACACAATGTGAATATGCTCGCAAGCAATGCAAATGAATATAGAAAAAATATCAAAAGAAACTGATATGGTACATTCTGTAGCAGTAGTAATAAAAAAAAGATCATAATTATACTCATGGTTTCAGGATATATTTAGTGTAACAAGTCTAGGAATGGAAGGTTCTTGTTCACAAAATGCAATATTTCTACTTTATTGTACATCAGCCTGTTTCTCTTCTCATCCAACATTCACCACAACAATGCAGGGGGCAGAAAGAAACATCCATGCAACTTCAACCAAAGTAGGAAAACAAGCCTTTGTTGCTCTCCCAGTATTGCAGTTTTTATGCACTTCTTGGAAACATGGGCTCAGTTAGATAAATGTTTCTGAAACACAACACTGTTTTTCAATCTGTCAATTTCCATCCCAGCAGTGCTTTTCTCTATTATTGTGTCATACATTGAACTCAGGGTACTGCCAAGTTTATAGAAAAGCTGACATCCACTTGTTTTGGTTTCTTTGTGACAAGTTCTTTGGTAGTTGTGTGTTTCGCTTTCATTTGTTCCAGGTGTGTCAACAACATTCACATAGCAAACAGCTTTTCGTCAGTGTTGGTAAAGTACCTGTACTTTGGATCCAGCAGGACTGTAATTCAATAGAAGGGTACTGATTCAATTTCATCGAACTGTATTTCAAAGACCTTCAGTAAAATCCCATGGTATTGAATCTGTAACTTTGTTCAAGTCTTTTTAAAGCCAATATGGATAGGATAACATCAGAAGCAGAGGTGGAAGAGGAACTTACTTCACGTGTTAGTTCTTCAAAGGGCACTAGGACTATTACTACTCTTTCAATAAATCTCCACTGATGCATGGTAAGGTTTGCAGGGATTTAATAATCAGAAGCACAGGATCCAAGAGCACATTTCTACTCCAAAAGGCATTGCAGCATGTAGTAAATGCTGTTCCACCTTGTCCGTATATCCTGCTGTAACCTCTTGGAAGTCATTCCAAGCTCAACCTGTACCACTTGCAGATGAGAGTAGGCTGACAGTGTTTGAAGTGGCCACAATTTTTCATCCAATAGCCAGTATTTTGGGTTGGGCATGATACACTGTGATAACACACCTTCATTCACAATAAGCTAGAGTGTATATACTACACAAGGCAAGCGTGGCAAACTGCTATATAGAATTGCCTTCATAATGTTTCTTTCATTATCCCTGATAATCACTTGGGTACATGAAATTTTCCATGTTGCAAATATTTTGTCAAAAAGATGTTGAAATGGCCTCTGTCCAATGGAACCACTGAACTCATATGCTTGTCATACTGTCTTCTGTTAATAGTAATTCATATCTACCTATTGTGCAGTTAAACTCAGCATTGACACCAGCAACATATCAGAACTCCATATATAAATAATAAAGTTTAGTGCTGATACATGGTCATCTTCAAGGAAAGTTTGTTAATCCAAGCATTTGACTTTTCTAACACTGAAAATGTATTTCCAATAGGTACTTAAAAAGGGCAATTTACAGTTTTGGCAGTGCAGCATCAGACATAAACCTTGGCTGAAACTGTTACATCTCTATAATTTTCACACCATTTAAAAACATACTGACCATTCTGTATCTGTGTTATTGAAGTTAAGCACAATTTCACAAAGCAAGAAACTGAAATTTAAAATATTTCACTATTATTCATGTGTATGACTATTCAAGACTCATGTTTAAAGTTTTAATTATCAATCAGTTAGTAAAGGTTGATCATGCAACCAATTTAGCAGTAACATTTTATACTGGTAAGAGAATCAATTATTCGGCAATTATAAAACACTGGTGTTTATACATGCCATTTGGTGTACATTGAATCTCATAAGAAGTTAATCCACAAAAGCAAACAAAATTGTGAGACTGTCACTATCTAAAGAAAACTGACTTTCTTTGATCACATATTATTACTTCACTAAAACAAGTATGATATGGCACAGAAAAAAGTGTCTTACCTAGTAGAGAGTTCCACATCAACAGGAATAGGGTTGATAAGAGAATGTACTGCCTGAGGCTGGGGTGAGAGAAGGGGTTGACAGAATTCTTTTTGTGGGCTGTTTTGAGGAGAGGGATCTCCAAATCTCTGCTGGTTTTTAAAACAGTTTGTAACAACAGGAGAGAGCTGACTCATAGCCGAGTCTGGTTCGGGACCAAGTAACATTTCACTTGCGAAATTTGCCTGGCCTGGTTGTTGACCAGAAGCATTAGCATGAAGGTTCGACAAGCTAGTGTGTTGACCACTAGCAGAGTTTTGTTTGCGATGCTTGGTACTATATTTGTAGAAGTCTGATATCTCGTAAGGCTTAGTCTCTTCCCAGTAAGGCTGGAAATGTCCCATACTAACAACATTCACTTCTATGCCTGCCTTGTGTGATGAAAAAGATGGAGGTGGAGGTGAAAATGACAAATTGTTCTCCATAATCACTGCCTTATGTGGAGATAAAGTATTTTCTGTGCTGCTCTGAGAGAAGGGTTGGGATATAAAAGGGACTTGTGGCTTGGCCACTTGGGCACCTGTCACCACTGAAAACTCTTCCTTATGCTGTGAAAGGTTATTTATTGGTTCTAGAGGCTCAGCATTTGCACTTATTAATTGAACTACTGGTGGATGGACACTACTAGAGGAGCTAGTTCGGTTTTCTTTGAACTTAGATTTTCTGGGAGGAAGTGGTGAATCTAACGAAGTTTCCACCCAGTCTTTTGTTTTGGGCTTGGGGGAAAGATTATGAGAAGACCCTGCATGAACATCATCAATTTGAGCATCTTTCAGTGAAAATTGTCCCAAAGTACAGTCATCATAAACATAAATGTCTTTATACAACTTTGGACTTAATGTATTAAGATAACAAGGAAACGGGGAATCTTGTGATCAACTTGATGCACGCATTGAGAGTCCACAGTCTGCTTACTTCTAATAGTATAGTTCAATTCAGGTTCACTAACATGCAGGTTTTCCACATACTTATATTGAGCAACAGATTGAGTCAGAGGACAGTTGCCCAACTTGTTCTCGGAGATGGAATGTTCAAGGGATTCATGGGACGTATGGTGATCATCAAATACAGGATAGTCTTCATCTGGATGATAGGCAAGACTATCCAAACTTCTGGAGTCTGGCTTAGAGGAATTGTGATGTTTTTTAGGATGATGATAGGAGCTATGATGATGATGATGATAAGGAAGGGTATTTACAGTCCTCTGACCTTCTTCCAATGTACGAAGATAACAAAGTCTTTCATCATAAGAAGGAGATACTTTCACGGTGGGTCGACATGGAATATTTTCACTGGCATGACGGGTTTTGCGTTGCCGGACACTGCTTCTATGACGGGTCTCTAGACTATTGTGCCGTGACATGAGACCCAAGTCTTGTACTTCTGAAGGACTCAGAACTAACATATCATCCTGAGTGTCAAAAGCCTGGCTTGTACGCTGAGTTGGAACACTGTACAAATTTGAGCTCTCCAAATTCAAACTGGACTCAAATCTAGGAAAATAACAACGAGTTCATAACTTTAAGCTATCTTTGCAAATTGAACAACACTTTTGTTTGAATTAGAGAGTAAAATGTGTTTAACATTGCATACCAAGAAAAAGATAATGATAACTGTGATTTTGAATTCCATAAACTAACTTTTGACCATAAAAAGCAATGAAAAAAATATTTACTTGTTTGAAAAGAATTCCTAAACAAATTAACCATAAAAGTGTCTTTACATATGTAATTTACTTTTCTGGCATCAATTGATTTGCAGGAGTAATACAACATACAAAGAAAAATGTGTAATAAAATGATTCCACTTGCCGATTTGTTTATTTTATAAATAATCATGTCTAGATTAACAGCATTCTAGTCTCGTGAAAAATCAATTGCAAAAAGAACATTTCTATCTATATAAATGCAAGAACGTGCTAAGTCACGACTAACATGAAGTTGTAGGCTATATAATTATCAATACTAATATCAAGTTTTGTCACACAATAATGGAATGTTTTTGTCAGTAAAATAACATATTCAAGTCTTCCACATATCATTCCTAGTTCCCATTTCTCTAATTCATTTGTTCATAATGTTGATTTGCATGTACTAAAAAAAGCTATTTTTTATTTTACTGTTGCCTACTTGCTTTTTATTTTTTTAGAGAAACAGTTAAATATATACTCCATTATATATTTAATTCAATGTACAAGGGCACCAATCTCAAGGTGGGGGAAGCTACAGCTTAGTTGTCATTAAGGGGGCAGATGACTTCTTATAAAGGTCAATTCACGATCATATATATACACACACTAATGTACCTCTGCAGGGTCCCCGAAAATGTTCTGTTTCAAGAGTGAATAAAACCAAAATTAAAAGTAAAAATATTTTTATTTCTTGCTTTGAAGTGCACTTCAGTAAAACTTACAATCATCAAATGTGTTACTTTGCCAAATTTATTTACATGTCTGTTATGGAGCTGTATTTTTAACTTAAGAATATATGTTTTGGTTAGCATCCACCGGTTAGCTTGTGCTAACTTCATTTATTTCTTAATTCTCTTCCTTTTTTTCTGTTTTATTAAGAGCAACTAACTTTTGACATGACTGCAGACAGTAAATTGTAGATTAGATTTAAAGACATTGTGAGTTGAGCATCAGTATCTGTTCCTACTTTTTTTTTTACTTCACATTTTATTTGAGGAATAAGGCTTGTGAAATAAGATGTTAAATCTGATAAATGCTGTATCTCCACTAATGTGTTGGTCATACTGTCAAATAACACTTTTACCAGAATACATTTAACTTTATCCACACTGTAGTTTACTCAAGTGTTCTTTCTTTCTCTCCTTTATGTACAATGCTTTTTTCCCTGGAATTTCATAACATTTCATTTTCCTGCATGCACTAATATAACTTAATTTAATATTTATTTTCTGTTAGACATTTTAAATGTTTTATCTTTATCATAAAAATTATTAAAAGCGTTTTTTTATAGTTTTCTTTTAAATGCTTTGGGAACAAGTTGAATGCGTACATCATGAATAGATTTTCATTAACATCTGTTTGATCAATTGTATACTCTCTCATACTTCACACATAATAGGAATACTCTATACCTGATTAAAAATGTTCCTCTCTTTTATTTTTCTTACAGAAAAGTTAAACAAATTTTTTAAGTTAATTTTTAGTGAGATATTTATGTCTACAACACCAGATATTTCAGTAGTACTGCTTGAAAACATAAATGTCAATAATTTATTTATTTTTTTACGAAAGATATGTTGCTGTAGCTATATGTTTCATAATCAGTTTGCTTCTGCAATAAGTCTCATCATAGTTAAAAACAAATGGAATGAAACAAAAAAACATAATAATCCCAGTTTAAAATATTTTTTGTCAAAATAATTGACTGGTGAAGACTTGATTGCTTTGTAGTACTAACCTGTTTTGATAAGGACTCCTCAAAAACGGACCACTTCCTCCACTGGTGCTAATGTTATCATATGAATCTGAACCAGCTGAAACTGTGGACTGTGATCCAGGCCTTGTATAATGCTCATTATGGCTTGATGGCCTGCTATGATACACAGGTCTAATCTTTGATCTCTGGTTGCCAAGGCTGTGAGAAGATCCTCGTGAAGAACATGAGCGAGAAAATGGACTAGCTGGTGGCATGGTACTAGACCCACTAATATGAACTGGATGAGACTGTCGAGATTTAATAGGGCTAGGTGGGGCAGAATTTGGTGTTGCTGAAAGTTGTAAGGATGAAGACGAAGAACTTGGTACAGGAGATGGAACTTTGATTGGCTGTTTTGAAATACCAAATACAATTTGTTTCTTAAAGTGAAGTACATACTCATGATTTAAAAAAAAGATAACACTTTAATGGAAGTATATCATATAACACTTGTGTTTGTATATCATTTTGTTGTGATTTTCATTACATTATAGCCATATGATAGAAGAAAACAAGTTTTTTTTATTATTTTGTGTACAGAGGGTTAATCACGCTTCAGGAGAATGATTTTCATATCCTAATTTGCTTGAATGCTGCCACAGAATTAAAACATGGTAGCAAAAGTGACATGTTTGATTTTATATATATATATTAAAAATAAAATAATAATAATTTCTAAACCATATGACACAGCAATGCAACTATGATAGTCTTCTGGCTAAGCATAAAGTGTCACAGCCTTTTATGAGGAATCTTTATAGCAAGATAGTAAAATGATACAGATCCAAAGGACACAACATCTCCAGGAAAGAATCTTTCAGTGCTCTCTGTGGTAGGGAAAAAACTCCACAGAGGTGTTTATGGCAGCAATGGGTCCAAAAACCATACTCTCAATCCAATTCAGGGCAATTTCATTAACCATAAAGTGAAGATTGTGGGTCACAAAAGAAAACTCTCCAACTTTAAAAAAAAAATTGAGCTTAATCAAGAAATTCTTCCTATCTCCATTAAAAAGTTAATTAAGAACATGAGAAGATATCCAAGAAACTGGGATAATAAAAATCGTATTGATCACACAAATTCGTCATGATTTCTGAAGCACTTTCATACCTTTGATCTGCATAAGCATGGTCTTGAAAGCTGACATCCACTTACAGTGGAAGTTTTGAGGAATGTTTGTCAAGATCATAACCATCAGACTGAAAACAATCAATGATGGAGGAAACAGTTTCCAGGGCAGCACACAAATGCCATTCTTATAAGGTGTAATTAACCCTCAGTAACAAAATTTAAGGTAGTTAACAGACATAACTGACTATAATGAGAGCCCATGCAGTTCATTGAAAAATAAAACAAAAGCAACACGCAAATAAGGAGCACACCTTGTGATCTATCCAAATGCAAGTTTTATTAAGTACAACTTACAAAAAAATATTTCTTTTTCTCCTTAGAACACATGTAATAAATTTATTTGCTAAATAAATAATCCTTAGTTGTAAAAAAAATAAGAAAAAAATGCTTACTGCTAAAACTCTGTTAACTTGATTGTTAGCTTCTTCCAACTTGTTAGGTCTTGGTGATAATGTTATGTTCAGGTCTGATAAGTTAACAGACTTCTCTGGAAAGCCCATTTCTGGAAACAGAGAAAAATTAAGTGAAATGTTAGTTCAAACTATTTTCCTTTATAATGAGGAATTCTGGATTTTTATAAATGTTTATGCACATTCATAATAGTCATAGAAACAAAGGAAATAGTTTTCTAAGTATAAAAGGTCATTGTGACGAAGGTTGGTCAACTAATACAGTTTCCAGCGTTAAACTACAAAAAATGTATATATATATATATACAAAAAGGTTGAACTTTCCTAATTTCAAATTTAATGTGAATTTTTACCCATCTTCATGGAAATTTGCAACAGTTTGTAATGGTACACTCTTTAAACAGTGGAACTTATCACTAATACAATAAAGTATGAATCCTGACAACTACAACAAAAATAGTCCTTCTTAGGGCTTGCCAATATACTAACACCCATAAAGTAAAATGTAAGCCAGTTAGTAATTCGTAATAAATCCTGGGAACTATAACAAAAATATAGTCCTTCTTAGGGCTTTGCCCATAGACTAACACCTAAAAAGTAAAATGTAAGCCAGTTAGTAATTAAGCAAAAGTTAGTCAATTAATAAATAGATTTAGGCAAATATATGGTTTACCAATCAAGACAATGAAAACTTACCATTATCATCTGTAGAATGACTCATACTGTCTTCACTAGCCTCTGTGAAGATATATATATATATATATACATATATAATAAAAATGAAGACAAACAAAAATCAGTGTAATCTCAGTAGATCATCACAAACAAAAATCAGTGTAATCTCAGTAGATCATCACAAACAAAAATCAGTGTAATCTCAGTAGATCATCACAAACAAAAATCAGTGTAATCTCAGTAGATCATCACAAACAAAAATCAGTGTAATCTCAGATCATCACAAACAAAAATCAGAGTAATCTCAGATCATCACAAACAAAATCAGAGTAATCTCAGATCATCACAAACAAAAATCAGAGTAATCTCAGATCATCACAAACAAAAATCAGTGTAAACTCAGATCATCACAAACAAAAATCAGGGTAATCTCAGATCATCACAAACAAAAAGCAGTGTAATTTTAATAGACCACTATGAAAATTAAATATTAGAAGTTTCTGATATGCATGCTAAATACTAAAAATTGATTTATGCTTTTATGCAAGAAAGAATTTAAGTTTAGATTCTGATCTTACCACCATCTGAAGAATGCTTGGTACATTTTGCTCGTAGTCCCTCAGTCTGTTTTCTAAGCACTTCCAGTCTCTTTTCCAATTCTTCCAGCTAAGCCACAAAAATCATACACAAGATGCAAATCTTACATGTTACAAACTATTTTTAATGCAGTCAAAGTAATAAATCAAAATTTGAGACTGCTTAAACAGTTTGATAAAGTTTATCTTTTATGAACTTGGCTAGGTTTCACAGGTTGGTCTCATTAACTCTTTCCATCATACCTTTTCCTTCTCACAGAGGAAATACTTCACCAAAGTGCATATAACTTAGTACAAGCTTCCCACAATGTATCAAGTTTTGACTTAAAAATATCCACATAATTTGATTTAGTTTTTCTATAATAGTTTATGTTGTAAAAGTTTGAAAATTTTGCTGAGAGACACCATTTTCAATAAAACAAAAACAATAATATGTATTTTTTTTGTTTACCAGAAAGTTCCATTTCATACATCCAATTAGTTTCAACTTGACTAATATTCATTAACATATTTATTTTTATACTCTAGTTTGCAAATTACACTAGTTACCACTAGTGGCTATAAATTGTAAAAAAAACACACCACAGAAACTGACAAAGATTTATCGATGACATATGACCTAAATTAAAAATTGAGGTAGGCAAGACCAGGTAATGATATTTTTTCTAACAATATTCTTAGTCATAATCAATTTATGTTTAATAAATACACTTTCTTTTCAATAAATTTTAAGTTCTTTTACTTATTTACATTGTTTGAATATAATGAACAGATTTTGAGTTAGCAAAATATTACTTGATGTCTTTTCATAGAAGAAAACTTATGTAGTTTTCAAACAAATATAATTTAATACAAAATATTTTCAGGAATAAAAAGAACATCTAAAAATTCCCAGATGTGTGTTTATTTCCTAAGTGTTCTAAACTTCCTATTAGATTTTGTTGTTCATCTCTTCACTAATTTATCACTTTTATATGAAACTATAAATTACTTCTCACTCCACTTATTTACTGTACATTGATGTAAATAGTCTGTAATTTAATCATATTTAAATTTTGCCTGCGGATGCCTTGAAAGCTGAGTTTCATTAGTTTGAGGTCATAAAAGTGTGGGAAATCCAGAGGATGTATCAATAAAATTCAAAGAAAGAGAAGAAAATTCCCAAGAGAAACTGATAATTGTATTCTCAAGGGACAACTATTTCTTAACAAATATATACCTATGCTTTGGGAAGGGGAAAAAATTTCTAAATAAATTTATATGTGCATTTTTTACAGACTAGACTCCTTGGAGCTGTGTATAACTAAGTTTTAACATTGCAAATAACATTAAACAAATGTTACAAAATGACAATTCAAAAATATATCTGAATAAAAAAATATTAAAATAAAGTTAGAATTATTATTTTCTACTTAAAACTTTGAAATTTGATATGCACTCAATACCTAAAAGGTGTTTGCTGGGCTAAGCACATGATTATCCATAAAAGAAATATGATTATTTAATGGAATATCATATATACAATACCTTGCTTACATAATCTGAAATGTGTGTAACACAATATGCATGTTGCGTTATGTAAGCTATTTCAAACCTTGGTATAGAAACAATGAAAAATTGTTGAGATAAAGATTTAAAAAAACAAAAATCAGAGATGTTTTTTTGTGTTTCTTTCTTACCAATATTTGATAACAGAAATTGCCAGTTAAATCTTATCAACCTCCAAACTCTAACAGAAAAATAAACAATACTGCTGTCTGTTTATTATAATTTCTATTATCCTAGAAGCTTCAAATAAATATTTTTATATACTAGTTCACAAAGTTCATCCTTCAGTTTCCTTAATATTTTCACAAACAGCCTGAAACTGGGGATAGATCTTGAGCAAGCCAAAAAAGAAGTTGGTTTTAGTAATGATAGGAAGCAACTCAAACATCTTTATTGAAGTAAATAATTTCTTTATAGTTTGTATGATTAAAGATGACTCTTTCTTTGGTACTAATTCAAATCTGGTAATTGGACTGCTGGAAATCAAATGCTATGGTTAACAAAATTTAAAATGTTTTGCAGTGGCATCTTTTAAAGTCTATGTCAACATTAATATATAAATAGCAGTTACAAACTGTTCAACTGACTTTTTGTAATACATTTGCTCAACTAATTATAAATAAAACAACTGCACAATAGAAACAAATCTGACCGCAAACAGAGAGTACAAAGTTAATTCTAACCTTTCTTTGTGATTGATGACAGGCAGCACGTCTCTGTTTCCTGACAGTCTTCGTAGCACTCACATCATTAGCAAGCTGTAATGCTGCACTGGTTATCTTGCTCTGGATTTCATATTGCAGTTCTAGCTTTTCTAAAGCTTCTTCCTATTAACACCAAAAGAAAGTGCAAACATTCATCATATGTATATATATATATTTTCTCAGTACTTATATATTTTGAAAAAAAAAAACAACAAAAAAACTCTAATTTTAATTCTGAAATGCACACACATATATATATATTACTTTTATTAAAATGTCTCACTAGTGATTCTGGTTACACACACCTCCTGGTGCTTTTCCAAGTGAGAATTTTCCTGCACCTTTTGATAGAGTAAAATTTAGTGTCATAGTGTCAAACATATTCAATATATATATAAATAACAACTTCCACCCCCAGCTCAAAAGTGGTTACTCTTGTATCAATTTTCATAACCTACCTGGTTATGAAAAAATTATTCAACCTGTACAGTAAAAGATTTCAAGAAGGTTGGGCAGACTGTGAACTGCTTGGTTTAAATTTTAAGGATTTCAAATTTCACAAACAGCTGATCCATACTGTATATCAACACAGTACTTTAAATAATAACATTGATTTTCCTACTTTTCAGCTTCTATTCAACATGAAGTATAGATGCTAACCCTAGATAATATCAAGTAGCAATGGCAGCCTAAAAAATTTGAGATCTAAGCAGAAAAGAAGGAATGATTTAATTTCTGCAATCACTTTCCCAGCTAGAGTAATGTTGAAATCTGCAAAGTTGAGCATATACAAAATTCATGATTTTCACTTATTTCAAACGATTTAATTTAAGACCAGTCAGCACAATATCTGCAGCACTCACACTTGGCAAGAGTTCAGCATCAGAATGCCATTTATAATTTTGTGGTTAATATTTTTTTGTGTCATTTTAACCTGTAGTTTACTTTATGTATTATGTAGCTATTAAACTTACCTGAAATTTGTTCTGTTCTAGTTTGTTTTTTTTTCTTTGTGTGTGTTCCTGACTTTTGAGGTATTTCAGTATTAGAGTTGTATCTCAAAATGCCAAAGTTCTAAACTGGGATGAAATTTCTTCTTATATTGTCATTGTTGTGATTGTTTTTTTATACTATTTTCACCTTTACTTTATGGATATCATTGAAATATTAAAATTACCCATGACTTGTGTTTTTATGTCTATTTCTTTTTGAGGGTGGTGTCCTGATATGGAACTCATTTCCTGTGCTTTTTTGGATAGACACTTTTGACTACATAGAGTTCATTTCAGCATCTTTCCAATGAAACTAATATGGCTATTCCAAATTCTGAATATAATATAATTTTTGAATGACCAATATTTTGTTCAGCGTGACAAAAATATATGAATCTGGTTTAGTACAGCTGCACAAGTACAAACAGTCTTAAAGGTAATTTTGTTTCATTTCATCCCCCAAAACAAAATATATACTCACAAAATGTTAAATAAAAATTGAAACTTTGTGATTATAATGGCATAATCAGGGGCTAAAAACCAGAATTATTCTGCCAAAATGGGAACAGTTAGCATATCTGCAATGAGGCATAAAAATGTGTCTGAACAAATACTAATAAAACAAAATTACCTTGATGATAATAATAACAAAGAAAAACTCAAAAACATGACATCCACTAATTTATAATATGCAGCACTAACCTTTAAACTGAAAAATTATTTGAATTGATTATTTCTTTAAATAACTTTAAAATCAGTACAAATTTTAGAATCACTTGAATCGTAGCATCAAAACAAAAATATCAATAATGTAAAATAAACCCATATTCAAAAGGTTAATATAATTTGCATACACTTATTTAGGAAAATGAAACACTACTATTAAGCAACCGATCACTTGGGTAATTACTATGAAACACAAACTCAATAAAACTAAATCACCTCTTTAGACTTCGCCTTACTGATCAGTTTATCATTAAGTGTGAACGTGGTTCCCACTCTACGCCTTATTGTGGGTGGAAGTTCTCCAGGAGCAAGTGGCATTTCTGGAGGTAGCTCACCTGTCAGTTCCTACAATTGAATATGACAACACCTATTAACCCGTTTCCTCTTTTCTCATAATTTAAAAGGAAACAATTGTGTCACTATCAGTTCCTATATTTAGATATGACAGCATTTATTATCCTATTTCCTTATAATTTAATAACAAAAGGTTTTGCCATTGTTAGTTCATAGATTTGAATATTTAATTCTGTTTCACACCAACCCTTTTTAATAGTAAACATACTTTGTCCACATGTGTAATGATCTTTGTTTTTTAAATTAAGATTACTTTAAAATACTAATTCATTTATTCTCAGTTTGTAAAATTGTTTTCTAAAAGCAAAACTAACAAAAATGTAAAAGCGATTATTACAGAAAAATTAACCATAAAATTCAGGTGTTGCATAATATAAGGTATTATGAAAACAACATATCTATGAGACAATTTTCTTCTTAAGTTACTAAATATCAAAATCAGATATTAGTCTCTCTTAATTGAAAAACTGTCTCAAATGCCAATAACTTACTAAAACATATTACTTAATATTACCCATATTTCATTTCAAAATAAAATTCCATTATACTAATTAATGTGGACTATTCTGAATGTGATCATGGTAAGATTCAGGTACAGAAAGAGCCTCCTACCCCTTCCTTTATGCAAAGTGCTCTGAGATCCTCTATCTTCTTCTTCAAGGTCTCCTCGAGAGCCGCTTTTCTAGCCTTCAACACACCCAACATGTCTTGTTTGATTAAATGACTCTCTTCACTCTGTTCGTCTGCAAAAAGCCAGAAATAATCTCAAACTTTTCAATACATATAGAAAATACATCCCTATAATTCAGCAAGTGTTGTACAATATCAGTAGGAAAGAGTTCAAAAACAGGTATTCATCAACTTAAAAAAAATATCAATTAATCCAACATAATTTTCTCAAACATTTAGTGCACATTACCAGAAAGACCACTGACAAATATCTGTCATTATTAGAATGCAATAAGAACAAAAAACAAAACATTTTTGAGTAGGTTTTGTATCTTTCTAATAGTAAATAAGAATTTCTAATAAAAAAAAAGTAAGCTAATAAGATACTTAAAATAACATATAAGTTAATGAAAACAATGTAGTAGAACAATCCGATTATAAATAGTTAAAGTATCCATCAGTAATGATTGGAATGCATTGAGTAGCCAGTTAGAAACCCTCACTAAGAACATCCAATTCAAAATTTTGTTTCTTTAATTGAGGAGGAAACATTTAAAAGGTTAGTAATAAAATACAAATTTATAATTGAAAAGGCCTATGTGTTAAAAAAAATCAGTTTTATACTACTACCCTGTTGTGGTATAGAAAATGACCACAGTTTGTTTTAAACAAAAATCAAGATTATATTAGCAGCTTAATAGTATCAGAGAAGAAATACAATAACCATACACTTTCAGAAAGCCCACTGCATCATGTTTCATGATATCTGAAGAAAGTTATGGATTAACACCAGTGCCTGAAGCATCATTTTTCATGGTATCTGAAGGAGGTTCTGGGTTAACACTATTGACTGGAAAGTTATATTTTATGTCCATCTCAAATGCTACTACTGATCACTTCAGCTCCCAAGAAAAATATTTTTTTTGTTACATATTGCAAATACAGTTTCTAACTACATATATACCAAAATACTAGCACATACCTATAATTATCATACAATATAAAGTATAACCACAGCTTTTATTTCTAATCAAAACTTACAAAAGTTGAATTTACCTTCAGTTTTTAGTGTTGGAAGACTATGTGAACTGGCACTGCGGCTTAAGTTGGATGTTGAGCTATTTGAGGATAAGGACTGCACACTACGTGATAGATCTGCAGCTATCTCTGCAAGGCTACGAACTATGCTTACTCGACTCTAAAAAAAAATTACTGCCTTATATGCACTGTTTTCATTATATTTAATACATTTATTGTATTCAGGATTCTAAAACAAAGTTTTATTTAACTTACATTAGTCTGTTAAAAAATAATCTCAATAACTAGTAGTGGCTAACTTTATAGCACTTTAACTAGTCTCCTGTTTCTTTACAGTACCATAAAAACAATTTCCAGTTTTTATAAGGTTTCCTTCTAATCCACTTAACAAACTGTTGTGAAAAAATCGTGTATCTTAGTAACTTGTGCAAAAGCAAAATCACTATAATGTAATGATGTCACAACTTAATATATTTTATAATCACATCATGAATGCCTCAAGAACATATATTGTACACATTCTTCTTCTTTATATACTAATAACTTCAAGGAATTTAACTTTTGAAAACAAATTACCATTGATATTATAAAATGAATTTTTTTTCATGAATTAAAAAAGTACCACATGAAAATTTTGTTTAGTCTAATACTGAGATATTGGAGTCTACTAAGCAATTTTTAAAAATAGAATGATAGAATATAAAATATTTCAATAATATGAACTTCAGGAGAGCAAGATATATTCACAAGGAGGAGAATAATATAATAGTAAGGCAATATATCTGGTCAACATTACAAATCTTAATCCTTCACAAAGAAATTACTCTATATGTTAATGTCCTCCAGATAACACTTACTGCTCATTCCCAGTAACAAAACTTATAATGAAGTCAAAAGTCAACATCCTTAAAAATGGAATTTACCATAAAAAAGTGCCGAAAGCAGTTCAGCCACGAGTTTCAATAATTATCAAACTATATTTGGATACTTAAAAACAACAAATTTAAAAACTCTTACAATTTTGCAAATACATTAAAGAAATAGGTAGAAAATATATATACAACAACAACAAAAAAC